TCATTGAAGACCTTTACAAGAGCAGTCTCAATGCTGTGGTTTGGGCGATAGCCTGACTGGAACACATCGAAACAGTTATTTAAATACAAGAAGTTACTCAACTGTTGAAAAACAACTTTTTCAATGATTTTACCTAGAAAGATGAAAGGTTGAAGGCCCCGATCCTCTACGTCCAGTTTTAGACCGTTTCACACGAAGGGTTTGAGGTTCACAGGATCACATTTGGGGTTAAGATGGAATGTCTTTCCTAAAACTTGTAAAAGATGAAATATTCCCTGTCAGGCGATTCCTGCAGGTTTTACATGAATTGGCAGCCCTTCTTAACTTTCTGCAAATCTCTTCTGTTTTTGTCTCCTGATTAATGGAGGTTTTAAAATATGTATTGAACATGTATTGATCTGCTTAAAAAGACAAAAGTTATGTTACTGTGTTTCTCCTTGAACATTGTACACTTGAGGCAAAGCTTCCTAATAAAAGTGGGTCTTGTTGGGCTAAAATTCACTCCAAAAAACATCACAGCAAGAGATATTATTGGGTTTTCAATAGTCCAGAAAATATGATGGTGGCCTAGAGGTCTAAGAATTGGTTCTACATGCAGGGGCCAAAGGTTCAATACCGCTTATACATGTAGGTGTAACATATTTTGTCTTCAGCTATGCTCAAAGTCTTTTTTATTTGACATTATATTCATGTTAAACCATCGGATTAAGCCGAACCGCATACCACAGTTGAGGTGGTTCGGGCACCTAGTAAGGATGCCACCTGGGCGCCTCCCTAGGGAGGTGTTCCAGGCACGTCCAGCTGGGAAGAGACCGAGGGGTAGACCTAGGACCAGGTGGAGGGATTATATCTCTTTGCTGGCCTGGGAGCGCCTTGGGATCCCCCAGTCAGAGCTGGTTGATGTGGCCAGGGAAAGGGACCTTTGGGGCTCTCTGCTGGAACTGATACCTCCGCGACCCGACCACGGATAAGCGGGAGAAGATGGATGGATGGATGGATGGATGGATGGATGGATGGCATACCACAGAATGAATCACATTATAAGTGCATTAAAAAAACAGTGCTCAGTGGTTTCCTTAAGGTACAAAGCAACAACAATAATTCAGCCATTTTCCCGTTTCCCGGTTTAAAAGAGAAAAACAATGGAAAAAAAGACTTGAGAATAGAATAAAATGTTGGTCACATAAAAGCTTCTTCTTCCAAATACGTGTTATGAAATATAACCAGTATAGTAGACCATTGATGTGTAACGTTAATTTAGTAGCACTGAAACAGGTGAGGTGATTTTGGTAGAACTTTATGACAGATCAAGATTTTTGTATATACGGTTTGAAACATCTTAATTGATGAGGTCTTGGATGTGGACACGTGTCTGGCCTCTGGAAAATAACACCATAAAACAAAACAAAACAAAAAGGTTTAAAACTTCTTAAATTAAATTGTCTTTACATAATGCAGGTAGTAATAGAGGCATGTGGCGCAGTGGGTTGTGCGTATGTGTTCAGACAGGTTCAAACCCCACTGCAGTCAGCATGTCGTTGTGTCCCTGGGCAAGACACTTCAAACCCAAATTGCTCCTGTGGGGATTGCCCACAGTATTGAGTATGTAAGTCGCTTTGGATAAAAGCGTCTAACAAGTGACATGTAATGTAATGTAATGTAATGTAATAGTTCATCAGAATTACATTTATTTAAAGAGCTCTGCTGCCATCTGGTGGACAACAGGTGGAAAGTGAACTGCAGATGCTGAGGGGTTTGTTATCAACTTCTGAAACAATTCAAACATACACGATGGGATTCATTTGAGTAGCATTTTCAGACTTAATTTGCGAATGTTTCTTAGTGATACAGATTTAAAATCTCTATCAAAAGCAAAATATGTTTTGTGTTTTTTAATGAATTTATAAAAGATATTCAAATGTACAAACATTTTCAAACATGTACTCAACATAATAGTTATAATAGTATACATATTACAATAATTGAATAAATAAATGTATTAATAAACAAATGCATTAATAAATAGGTAATAAATAAAAACAATACATACACAATTAAATAAGGAAATAAATAATTGAATGCATATAAAATGTAGTAAAGTTGATAGTCAAACAGAAGATGAATAATTACATTGTTAGTTTACATATTTATCATTTATGTATTTATGAATATATCTGTATGATACAGTTTATAAAACGGACAAGTAAAATCAAGCAATCTGATTGGTTCTTAGCCGTGGTATACTGAGCGTATACCACGGGTAGAATTGTAAGTTACTTTTCACAACAACTCAGTATCCCTCCGCGTCTGAGATAAACAGTATACAGTTGGGCTGAAAAGCAAAGTTTGCTTTTCAAACTGGAACAAGAAAGCAGCGGAGAAGTAACGGAGCAGAAACCCTCCTTTTTACGCAACGGTCCAGACCTAGACATCAAACGGCAAAAACATATTCAGTGTGCAGTTCCTTTGGCATTAGGGCAGGGATATTTAGATACTTTCCAAGGTTTGACATAATGAATTGTGCTACTTTTAAAGCGAGCAACGATGTTTTCAAATCTGTAATCAAAAAGGTCCGCAAAAACATTTAAGATTAACTTCGACCTCCGGGGGGGGGGGGGGGGGGGGGGGGTGTCTTACTATGGAGGAGTGGATTGAGGAGTGCCTATCTCCAGAACAAAAAGCACCTAAACGACGACATGTAGAGCTACGTGAAGAGCAGGTCGACCAACTGGAAAAGTATCACCATTCAAAAGCTTTCTGATGCGGGTCTTGAAACAAAGCAGAGAAATGATGACCGTTAGTGGCCACAGGTGAGAAAGCTCTCTCCAGAGCTACTGGAAGCCCAATCTCGGGGACCGGAGAAAGTGGAGCAATATTCTCGCCACGCCAAGCAACAGCCTAGAACAACCTCAGCCTATACAAGTAACCACGTAAGCCATGCTACTGATGCTGGACAGTTTTTCAGTGGGTGCACAATAAACGGCAACATACACATTAATGTAAATAAATAGCCAAATAATGGATCAACGCTCTCTGTCTAATATGTTCGCTAGCTGTTGTTAGTGTTGTTGCATAGCAACCACCTCGCACTATGTTTCGTGCAGAAGGCAACAGAGGGACTATTTTATTTTGAACATCATTATTTACTAATAAAAACTATTTAAATTAGAGTGTGTATTTTTCTTTCATATTGCCACACTTGGTAACCGTTTTATAAAAGCAATAGCTCACTTCAGGCCGTGATATATGCTCATTATATCACAGCTAAGGGGGTTGTCGACCCTCCGCTTCGCGTCGGGCCGAACCACGCCCCTTAGCTGTGATATAATGAGCATATACCACGGCCTGTCGTGAGCTATTGCTTAAATATAAACTCAGAACAGCAAACCTCATCAGCTTTATGTTTCTGCCAAGATTTCTGATAAATCATTTGAAGTGCTTGTGGACTCGTTTCAAATGAGCCCAAAACAAATAATTAAGTACTACAATCTTTATTTAATTATTTTTCCTGGATAAGCTGCAGTCAAAACATATGTTTGTACAGTCTATGGTGGATTACATGTACACTTGTATTAGTCCTTATAACAATAACGAGCTTATTAGTTAAGCTTTCACTTCAGTAACATATCTAAGTACCAGAGGTGGAAGAAGTACTCAGATCTTGTGCTTGAGTAAAAGTAGAAGTACTCAGATCTTGTACTTGAGCAAAAGTAGAAGTACTCAGATCTTGTACTAGAGTAAAAGTAGAAGTACTCAGATATTGTACTTGAGTGAAAGTAGAAGTACTCAGATCTTGTACTTGAGTAAAAGTAGAAGTACTCAGATCATGTACTTGAGTAAAAGTAGAAGTACTCAGATCTTGTACTTGAGTAAAAGTAGAAGTACTCAGATCTTGTACTAGAGTAAAAGTAGAAGTACTCAGATATTGTACTAGAGTAAAACTAGAAGTACTCAGATCATGTACTTGAGTAAAAGTAGAAGTACTCAGATCTTGTACTTGAGTAAAAGTAGAAGTACTCAGATCTTGTACTAGAGTAAAAGTAGAAGTACTCAGATCTTTACTTGAGTAAAAGTATAAGTACTCAGATCTTGTACTTGAGTAAAAGTAGAAGTACTCAGATCTTGTACTAGAGTAAAACTAGAAGTACTCAGATCTTGTACTTGAGTAAAAGTAGAAGTGCTCAGATCTTTACTTGAGTAAAAGTATAAGTACTCAGATCTTGCACTTGAATAAAAGTAGAAGTACCCAGATCTTGTACTTGAGTAAAAGTAGAAGTACCAGAGTATAGGAATACTCGGTTACAGTAAAAGTCCTGCATTCAAAATGTTCCTCAAGTAAAAGTATAAAAGTATTATCATCAAAACATAGTGAAAGTACCGACAGTAAAAGTAGTCATTGTGCAGACTAATTAAAGATATTCAATAAATGCAGTGGAGTAAAAGTACACAATTTACCTCTGAATTGTAGTGGAGTAGAAGTACAAAGTAGAAACAATTTTACAAGTATCTCAACATTTTCCTTAAGCAAAATACTTGAGTAAATGCACTTAGTTACTTTACACCTATGCTATTACATGGTTAGCTTATGTTATACTGCTGCCTAGTGGTAACAGATGCATTGTAGCCTATAAATAAACACCTATCATTACAGTAATGTGTTGGTGAAAAGTAACTCAAAAGTAATATAAAAGTAGTGTAACTCATTACATTTCAGAGAAAGTAATAGTGTAATGTAACGTATTACTTATAAAAGACATTAACAAATAATATGTACTGTATTACATTTTGGAAGTATCTTGCAACACTGCTGCTAAGTACTCTGCTAACCTCTGGTTGCAGCTGGATGCAGTCTGCTGGGACGGTTTTGAATTGACTCCCTTCTTCTTCTGGATCCACTCCGTGTTTTACGGTAGCCTCTGTGTGTTTCAGGCAGCTGTATGCAGTCTGCTGGGACAGATTCCCTTCTTCTTCCTCTGGATCCACTCCGGGTTTTGCGGCAGCCTCTGTGTGTTTCTGGCAGCAGCGCAGCGTGAAAGCAGTGGGAAGCAGAAACACTATGGCTGCCACTCTGTCTCTCACTCAGGTAACACTGTCTTACAACTCTAATATAACGACAGCTAACGGCGTGTGTACTCCATGTCTTCTGCCGGGGGTACATTTGAACATTGTTATATGACTAGGCGAGCCGAAAGGCGATATTAACTCGCCCGTTGTCTCTTTTTTTGGAAGTTTAGTGTTGCTGTGACTGGGAAAAGTTTCTGCCTAATCTCTGTGGGGACTGCGTAAGGGCGTAGCTAGCTAGTTAGCATGCTAGCTAACTAACCGCCAGTTAGTGTCCAGTGGTGGACTGTTTTACAGCCGCTTTTATCATACTTTAGATAAGCCGTGTAACGTTACTTGTCTTCGTTTCGGTTTGCTGTGTATTTCTATTCTCGTTTTGTGTTGCTTCGTTTTGCTGCAGGCTAGTTGGTCCCGGCTAAACAGATGTTAGTACGGGATACTCATGTGTTGTGGCTGTACTGTCATTTCTCTGGCCAGTAACGCCTCTGCTAACACTGTTTACCGCTAAAAATACACTCGTTATTTCTCATAGATTACGTTCAGGGTTCCCATGCTATTTGTGTAGCTTGCTATGTGTTACAACCATGGTTATTGCTAATATTAGAAGTACATTTAATATGCTATTCCTTGCTCACTTAATGTAAATAATATCCTACTTTTAAATTTGGTTAGCTGTAATTGGCCCTTCATAGTGTATATTTGACAGATTGTCTACAAATTTGTATCTTTTACTGTCAAAATGTATATATTTTACTTTTTAGTTCTGTTTTTAATGTTCTATTTTGAGATGTTTTTATGTTCTACTCTTCTTAATTATCACATTATGTACAATGCCTTGTTTACTTGCTGCTGTGTAGAAAACATTTCCCAAATTGGGATCTAATCAAATGTATACATGTTCACTGTTTTCCCTTGGACCTTTCTTTAGTGATTAACTGTCAGCTGCTGTTGTTGTCTTCTATAATGTTAACAGAAAACACAACATACATTTGTTTTACAAGAAGTAAAAGAGGAAGTGAATTTGTGAAACCACCAGTCAGCACTGCTGTCTCTAAATGTCAGTGTGTTGTTAGCCAGTTTAAGTATAGTTATGTGTGTTTGTTTGCAGTGAAAATAGGTTATTTAGCAGGTAGCAGACAGGTCCAATAATTAGGTTACAGTACTTGTTACCTGAGACAGTGTTGATCTGTCAACAGAGAGGAGCTGTGTGCCAGCAGCAGCTCTGACATTATCTCTCAGGAGTTCAAAAACCTGGCTGGTATCTCTGTGTTGTAACACTTTGTTGGGATTACATGTTACACATTCATGTGTTCTCAACCCATAAGTGAATGTGATATTTCTTGAACAAGCTAGACTGGTGGTGGTGTGCCATTTATTCTTTTACAAAAATACTTACACAATGAGAATTTTGAAAAATAATCATCAATAATTTGGTTATAACGATTGGATGGGTGAAAGCAAATAATAGAATGGCTAGAACAGAAAAAAGCAATCCTTTCTTCGTCCTATAGCGGGGACATTTTTGTTGTTACAGCAAAAGGGACTGCAGATAAATACAAGATGAAATAAATAAATTAGTACACATTGAAGGTAGAAAAAAAGATAAGCAGTCGGTACTGAAATAGCAGGCACATACCAGTAATACATAGAAAGAGTATGTATTGCACAGTGTTATTTTACAACAGTGTTGTTACAGTATCAAGTAGTGGAACTAAAAATAGCAGCCTTTTAATAGCATTGTAGAATAGTATAAATTGCTTTCTAGTAAATACAGAATATGAACAGCCTTCAAAACCAGGAAAAGACAAACCCTATGACATTACAATATCAGAAATCTCAACACAGTTTAAATAATAATTTCCCAGTGTCAATAATTTATCTAAATATTGTGTAAATACTACATATTGTGTGAACATCTGCACTATCTTCCCATCTGCTGCCTATGTATGGGCTGGCTCGGCATATGATTGAGGAGTGTTTTTGCAACGCTCATTTAAAGAGTCACCAGTACAATGACGACACTGTTACAGCCGCCAACAGTTCCAGGCACACGATTGTCTCTCACAGAAAAATAAGTTGCATTGGCCAGAGAAAGATAAGTGTGTGTGTGTTTGCTCGTGTGTGTGTGTGTGTGTGTAGAAGGTTATCTCGTTGTATATTGGCAGTTGACAAAGCTGACAGATTACTAATGCTGATTACAAGCTGTATTTTTGCGTGAGTCTTCTTCTGGGCCTTAGCTCTGTCTTTGCGACACCCTTGTTTTACATGATGGAAAGATTTCACATGCTAATTTGTTTCTCTGTGATGCAACAAGAGCTTTAAAGCGCTGGTTGAAATGGCCACTCCTCTGTTGAATCACAACTCGGACAACTACCGTTCACTAGTTTCCCCCTTTGCTGCACCTGTCGATTTAAAAGCAAAACAACCGATTGTCAGTTTGAGCTATATGGAGAAGGAACTGCTGATTCCTTTCCTGTTCAGCACAGCAGTGGATGTATGAACACCGGAAAGGGGGGTGTTTAGAGAGGATATGACAGAAGGCAACATTAGCTGTTGTGTGTGTGGAGTGACGCCCTGTTGTTAAAGTGTCTAACGCTGACCATCAGTAGCCTCTTGAAATGTAGACGATATCTTGAAGTCATTACTCTCTCTGCTCGCAATTTAGCTTCTGTGTCTTGGTGACTCATAGATGTTTAATGTATGGTGTAAGACACTTAATGTGCTCATCTTGGCCAAAGGAATCGTGAGTGGTATTATGTAGCTAGTGCGGAGACGATTCATTGATTGAGAACATTATTTGAAGACAGCTTTGACAATCGACTAACCGGTAAAACATTTACCAGTTAAATGTATCTGGGATGGGCAGAGTTTGTTATCTACGGCGCTGGAAACTGGTGACCTTTTTCTCAACTTTCTTGTGTTTCAGTTCAAGATCAGTTGGTTTATCTCCAAAAAAGAATAGACTTATTATTAAAAAAAGGCAAAATGATTACAGCCCGAATCTGAGAATATAGGGCTGGAGTTTTGATAGCTTTCATAATCAATTCATTTTATATATAATGTTCTCCTTAAGTCTTCTGGACTATAAAATGTCTTGTTTTGTTAAAATATTCAGTTTTAATATATATAAACCGGAGAAATCAAGAAAATCCACATATTTGAGGTGCCGAAAACAGCTTTTTCTGCTATTTTACAACGAACAATTCACTCACAACAATACATTTGTTATCAAAATACTTGTGTTATTCTGTCGATCAACATTGAGTTGATATGATTAATCGTTGCAGCTCTAGTAACACATTATCCTGTCTGGTGTTCTTTCAATGCTTCATCCTACCTGAAGGTTAGCCTCTCTAATCATCGTGCAAACTGTTGTATTTCTGTGTCTTCTGTCATTGTAAAAGTTACAAGTCTTATTCTCTGGCTCAGTAAAGTCAGTGTTCATTTCTCCTTGCCAGATGTTTTGGGTCATTGACAAATAATACAGCTGTTTTACACATGATGAAACGCTGAGTTATGAACATATTGGTTAAAGCCTGTGTGTCTGCGGCCGCCATCTGTAACAGATCAGGCTTTTACTTTTTCCTGACAGCTGCATTGGTTCGGAAAGGAACTCGCTTTCTGAACCCAGCGAACATTTGTTGATCTTTTGAGTTTACAAACTGCAGAACTGAGAAAGCATAATAAAGAACAAGTTTATTCTCTTAAGGACTATTTTAAAGGTTCATTATTTTAAGGGTTGGAGAAATGTTTGAATCATTCTGTAAACTCACATGTTGTATTTTACCCTTTCTTTACAGCTTTCCACTGGAAATCCCATCTATGACAAATACTATCGACAGGTAAGCAAATGTATCTTCCCGAGATAAAAACGTATGGTTTATTTATGATTGCGATTGTTACGTTCCCTCCTGGACTAGGGGGATTGAGAGCACCTGAGGGAGAGGCTGTACCTGGAGGGAAACAATCAGGGGGAGAGGGAGAGAGACACACAGGCGTGTGGTGCAGTGGGTTGTGCGTTGGTGTTGGGATCAGGGGGTCACAGGTTCAAACCCCACTGCAGTCAGCATGTCGTTGTGTCCCTGAGACACTTCACCCCAAATTGCTCCTGTGGGGATTGCTCACAGTATTGAGTATGTAAGTCGCTTTGGATAAAAGCGTCTAACAAGTAACATGTAATATAATATAACACACACACACACGGCACGTAACAGCGATGTTGTCTTTTATACTATTGTATGTCTTTCACATACTTAATATCTTATTTAGGATCCCCATTAGTTATTATCCTAGTCTTAACTATTCCTCCTTGAGTCTATATAAAAGATAAGACAAGAAAAATCTGCATCATGTACACATTATTTGTATTGTGTACCTACATTACCTGAGCTAGCACCTCAAATATAATCAACCTTCCCATACATAATATTATTTGTAGCCTAAAAACTGATTTTTATTTTCTTCGTTCACATAAATTAGATTATATATACTTTATTGATTCCAAATTGGATAAAGGTTTTGAACAACCATTTGTAAACAAGGCAGTGCACATACATCTGAGCTGTTGAGTTAATACAATATAAAATAAAACAGTATATATTTAAAGAATATCTATAGTATTCACAATACAAAATATACAGAAAAAGTAACAATACTCTTTACTAGCTCAAACTACTACTTAAAATATATTTATATATATATATATATATATTATTACATGTCACTTGTTAGACGCTTTTATTCAAAGCGACTTACATACTCAATCCTGTGGACAATCCCCACAGGAGCAATTTGGGGTGAAGTGTCTCAGGGACACAACGACATGCTGACTGCAGTGGGACTCGAACTTGCCCCCTGATTCGAAGTTCAGCGCACTATCCACTCCCAATATATAAACAAAGGATACTATATACGTTATACAAGTTAGCTTTGGTTAAAAGTGTGGACAATAAATAATAGGCAGACAGTGACTACATTGCTATATCATCATTTTAAGATAACGTAACTGGCTCGAGTTAGAAAATAAACAATTGTGGGAGAAATAATTGTATTGAAATAATGTTATTTGTAATTTTGGTGCACTGAGCCTAAAAAGCTGAGCTAGCTAGAGCAGCTTAAATGAAATGTGGTGTAGCAGTGAGCAGAGATCTCTGTTCGCTCATATCAGCTTCTGTGTCCACTACAGAAGAGTCTCAATGAATTAATAATGTTTCCGTTTGCTCGGCATGTCGGGGGAGCTCCCTTTGAGCCTCATGAAAGACTTTCAACAGATCCAATAGCAAGCTAATAGACAGCTGAGAAAAAAGCTCGGGTTTATTATCAGTATTGATTCAAGAGACTCAGAGACTCCTCCGTCCAACAGAGCAAACCCCACAGTTTTCACTTGTTCTTTATTTGCCTCTCTCTTTCTCATATTCAAACATGTTTTCAGCGTTGTAGTCTGAAGCTATCGGCTAATATGATATTCTGTTTGTTTCTCAGCTGCAGAGATGTGTTACTGGTGTTTTTCAGATGTCATAAAACATTTTTCAAACCAAGGAACCCTCAGCTGAAAGAGACACAAAGCAGGGACCTATGTATACAATTTAATAGCATACCGGACGTTCAATAACACATAGGTTGGCCAAGAGTGTCATGTATAAAAAAACCTTTCTATGAGGCATACAATGCACAAATATTAATATAATATGCACTATTTGCTGTACCATGTAAGGGATTTAGCATTGGTTTGCTTGCTAATGGTATTACCAAGCCCCCAGGAAGTGCGCCGGACTCTGATGAAAATATTCGTTGTGTCCAAACGGCGGTACTACAATTTCCGTATCAGTCCGTGACGTCACCCGGCCCAGAAAGACTTTTCACCATTGACTAACATGGGGAAAGAGACGTCTGTGAATCAGCGGATACTTTTTTAAAACTAAATAAACTACCCAGTATGAACTATTTTATAGCCCTTATTAGAATCATTCGGTCCTTAAAGTTGTAAAATTCACTAAAAGCCGAATCTAGATTTATTTTCTGTCTCCATTCATTCTACTGAGCTGAGAGTGGGAGCTTGGGGGGCGGGGCTTAAGGGGCGCATGCTCTGAGCGCACATACGGGTTCTTCTCATGGATGTATAATAAGAACTGGATACAGCGTGGGAGGCGGGGTCTCGTTCTTTCCTAACCGGCTCGAGATACACTTTTTGTTATATTCCATGGAATGCTCTTAACATCCCGATAGCAATGAATATCTTAAGTGCTTTGACAAAAAATCCATAAAAAAATATCATCTGTGGAAGCCGTAATACTGTAAAAAGCACGACCAATCATTTTAGCCGGCCCGGCTAAAGTAACTGGATGGCCTACCTGCCTGTCAGCCTTCCATCTGTGCACAAACTTATCTCGTGCCCTCATTGGTCATGTGCGCGTTCGTGTGTGTTGGAGGAGGGGCTCTGTAAGGAAGTGGCAGATTTTCTCCGGTTGTGTATTTTCAAATTCTAGCGATCTCGAGCCGGTTTCTCAAACTTACCTACCCTACCTTTAAAGTAAATGTCAAATATAAGGTAGAATTAAATAAAAATTGAATAATAATATTTATATAAACACAAGAAATTATTGAACTGTATTTTGCGTTTTTAGACTTATTTAACATTTAAGAAACTCTTTCAAAACATTATTAAATATAAGGACGACCTGTTGAAGATCCACGGTAAATAAACGACAAGTTACTGTGTTTGCAATTTTATTTATTTGTCCTTTTTTTTGCGTACAGGTTGATCCGACTGGCAGTGGGCGGGTGGCGGCCGCTGATGCCGCTCTCTTCCTGAAGAGGTCGGGTTTGGCAGACTTGGTCCTGGGGAAGGTGAGCAAAGACTCTCAGAGCAAAGACTCTCAGAGCAACACCATTAGTCTCTATTGTCTCTGCTGTTTATATTCAAACCGTTTATTGTATATCAGGGGTGTCCAAACTACGGCCCGGTGCCCAAATGTGGCGCACGCTCGTGAACTGTTAGCGCCGGAACCTCGCAAAAGGGTAACTGCGGATTTGGGCATAAGATGAGGTTTGAGTCTGCGTGATCTGCGTGTAGGGAGGGGCAGCAGCCATATCATTAGCTATAGAACTAGCTAGATCTGATGGATTTGGACATAAACGCGAGTGAAGTATAACCGGACGCGAGAGAGAGAGAGATCAGCACCTGCAGCTCTGCCCGCTGTGAGGGGCCGGTGAGCGGAGCAAAACACACCTTTAGACCTAACACATTTAGCTATGGCACTGTCGTATACATTGAATTATTCCATTTGATAATATGTAATCAACTTAGGCACCCCTCCCAAAACAAAAGAAAGAAATTACAATAAAAATATTCATAACTCATATTCGAAAACCTGAATAATTTTGAATATTCAATTAATTGTGTGTGTGTGTGTGTGTGTGTGTGTGTGTGTGTGTGTGTGTGTGTGTGTGTGTGTGTGTGTGTGTGTGTGTGTGTGTGTGTGTGTGTGTGTGTGTGTGTGTGTGTGTGTGTGTGTGTGTGTGTGTGTGTGTGTGTGTGTGTGTGTGTGTGTGTGTGTGTGTGTGTGTGTGTGTGTGTGTGTGTGTGTGTGTGTGTGTGTGTGTGTGTGTGTGTGTGTGTGTGTGTGTGTGTGTGTGTGTGTGTGTGTGTGTGTGTGTGTGTGTGTGTGTGTGTGTGTGTGTGCATGCACACATGCACCACTGTACAGAACAAATTGTATGTTGCAGATTATTATAACAACATATTTTCATTATCACAGCAGCTTAAGAGCTCGTTTTCTCCGTCGTGCAGCGTGAGGTTGTGTTTTGTAAACGCAGACACTTTTAGGTTATTCACTTTTTTTTTGTGTGTGTATATAGATCTGGGATTTGGCAGACTCTGAACGTAAAGGTGCTCTAAACAAACAGGTAAATAGTTGCATCATAATGGATTTGTTTGTTTTATATACGTCGGTTGAGTTTCATTAATACATTGACGTCACGTTTTGTACACCTGTTCCTCCCAGCAATTCTTCATAGCGCTGCGGTTGGTTGCCTGTGCTCAAAATGGCCTGGAGGTGGCGCTCAAGAGCCTTCATTTGGCCGTTCCTCCACCTAAATTTGTAAGTCTACTGCTGCACACAACAAACATAATCATTTATTTTTCAACTTTACTTTATGATGACATATTTTGTATTAAATTAACAATTGTCCCATCACCCAAACATGAGCTCCTTTGTCTGTCTGAGCACATGTTTGTTTCCTGTCTGTTTTAACCTGACCTACACCACATTTTGTTTGTGGAATAAAAATGGTTTATTGAATTTATTTAAAATGTAATTGAAGTCTAACTGAGTTTTGTTTATCTCCAGCACGACACAAGCAGTCCGCAGTTAGCAGGAGGATCAGCCGGTGACCTTCACTGGGTCGTCAAGGTGAGGCAGCATTACCTTTACTATCTTATTGTTTTAAAGGGGACCTATCATGCAAAATGCACTTTTTGATGTCTTTTATACATAAATATGTGTCCCCGGTGTGTCGGGGAACTCACGCAGCGTCAGAAAATAAAACCCTTTCTCTTTTCCTCCGTACCCAAATCTCTAAAAACGGAGCTGATCCAGATTTGCGTCCGATATGACGTAATATCTGAAATGTGGACCCACGGGCCTATCAGAAACGTTGCTATCAGAAACAACGCCCGACTGTTTTGGACGTAATATGGTCGGTGTTTACATTAGCATCGCTAACACTCAGAGCTAACCTGTACTGGAGAGCATGTGTGTGAAGAAGCAGGAAATAAAAAGGAACTCACCTTGTGGTATAACCGGCAAGAGAGAAAGCCTTTGAGCTCCATACTGTTTCAGAAAGAATCCTTGATAATCCATGATATGGCGTTTCATCACCTTAGTATCTGCCGGTAGAATCTCCCGCATGAGCTTTTTTTTTAAGCTTTATACATAAAATCAGCACTTTTGAAACAGGAAGTGAAATAGAGGGATATGAGGCATGGCTAGAATGGGTGATCTGTTTGGTATTTTGAGCAAAACACTTAATCGACATGTTTTTTATATATTTTTATATATCTGAGACCTATGCTATTGTCTAAAAATAGCATGATAGGTGACCTTTAATTAAGATGGAAAAACTGCTGCTAAACTTTAATGTACGTTTTAATTACTGACGATTTTTATTCCATATTTTATTCCTTTTTATTCCATTCCATTGCAATGTAAATACTGAGATATTTGACTATATTTTTTATTATTTTTAATATGTTTCTAGTTCTCTATCTGTGTTTTTAATTCTTGTTTTACTTTTATGTATGCACCATGATATCAAGTCAAATTCCTCGTACGTGTGAACCTACCTGAGGATGAACCCGATTCTGATTTAAAGGGGACCTATCATGCAAAATGCACTTTTTGATGTATTTGCGATTCTCTAACAGGGCTACAAAAGAGGGGTATGAGCAGTATGAGGCATGGCTACAATGGCTGATCTGTTTGGTATTTTAAGCAAAACACTTCACAGACATGTTTTGTAAAGGTATGGCCCTACAATATATGTTTCCAATATAGCATGATAGGTCCACTTTTAAGCTTTTTATTTCTGAATTGTCTCTTTGCTTAAAAAGATCTGCACGCAGTCATCTGAGCAATGAATACACATTGATCAACTAAATACGTTTAATCAAAAAGCTATTTAAAGAAACGTCAGAATATATAATAAATAGCTATATTGCACTCAACAAAAGATGGCAGCCTTTCCTTGTTCCTTAGGGAGAAAGATCATCTGTAAACTTGCATAAATAACAAATATATTGTATAGGTTCGGCTCAGTAACATACCATGATGAATAAATGGTATGCCTTTGTGAGCAGAGGCATCAGCCGATTTCTTTCAAAATGTAATTCATCATTCCATTTTTTTATTTTTTGTTTCTGCCCCATGTTTTGAACCCTCCTTCTCTAATCATTTTTCATCTGGTTTTTCTCTCCAGCCTGAGGAGAAGATGAAGTTTGACGCCATCTTTGAAAGTCTGGGTCCATCAGGAGGGATTTTAACGGGAGACAAAGTCAAACCCGTCCTGCTCAACTCCAAACTGCCAGTGGACATCCTGGGCCGGGTACGGTCCTCAAACTGGACTTTCTTTTACAATCTATAGACAGAGGAAAGTGACAAAGCTAAAAAAAAGAAAAGCCCTATGCTTTAAAAAAGAAAAACCGGAAGTGAATTGAGGCAGGTGGTTTTCAAAAAAAGCTTGAACTAGCTCATTTAAACATTCAGAAAATGAAAAAAAAGTGGAAGTGAGATTAGGTTTTGAGTCAGTGCTTACAAGGGCACATGTTGTTATGTAACGTAATGCTTTTTGTGTGTGTGTGTGTGTGTGTGTGTGTGTGTGTGTGTGTGTGTGTGTGTGTGTGTGTGTGTGTGTGTGTGTGTGTGTGTGTGTGTGTGTGTGTGTGTGTGTGTGTGTGTGTGTGTGTGTGTGTGTGTGTGTGTGTGTGTGTGTGTGTGTGTGTGTGTGTGTGTGTGTGTGTGTGTGTGTGTGTGTGTGTGTGTGTGTGTGTGTGTGTGTGTGTGTGTGTGTGTGTGTGTGTGTGTGTGTGTGTGTGTGTGTGTGTGTGTGTGTGTGTGTGTGTGTGTGTGTGTGTGTGTGTGTGTGTAACAGGTGTGGGAGCTCAGTGACATCGACAGAGACGGCATGTTGGACAGAGATGAATTTTCTGTGGTAAGAAATTAGTTGAATATCAAATCAGTCACTTAGTTTCAGTGTACGCTGTTTCTTAAAGGTGGGGTAGGTAATTCACTTCAGATACACTTTTTGTTATATTCCATGGAATGCTCTTAACATCCCGATAGCAATGAATAAATTAAATGCTTTGATAGTAAATACATAAAAAAATGTCATCTGTGGAAGCCGTAGTACTGTAAAAAGCACGACCAATCATCTGAGCCGGCCCGGCTAAAATAACTGGATGGCCTACCTGCCTGTCAGCCTTCCATCTGTGCACAAACTTATCTCGTGCCCTCATTGGTCATGTGTGCGTTCGTGTGTGTTGGAGGAGGGGCTCTGTAAGGAAGTCTGAAGGAAGGGGCAGATTTTTTCCGGCTGCATACTTTCAAATTCTAGCGCACTCGAGCTGCTTTCTCCATTCTTACCTACCCTACCTTTAACTGATATTAAATATTCTGATCATAAATGGAGATATTGTGATACACGGTCACAACGTCTCAATTGATAAGAACAAGCTCATACTAATTTAAGTTTCTCAAAACATCTGATGGGGAATATTTTGAGGGGATTATAAATGTAAGATTTTGTTTTTGTTTTTGGGTCACACTTAACATCACTACTCAGTTTAATGCGGTTAACAAATGATGTGTATATTGTACATATCTATATATTTTTTCTCTGACTCCACTTTAAATTGTTATGTTCATTTGGCTTTTTTGTTCTTAATTTATTGAGAAAATACTCAGTATTTTTCTTTATTTTTCAAGTATTTAATTCACACAGAAATACAAAAACCGTGTTGTTTAATTGATATTATCTAATTATGCTTTCCAGAAATATGATGATAGATTTTGGGCACACATGTATTAATAGTGTGTGCAGAAATACTTAGATATTTTACCACTTTGTTACAAGTATAAGTCCTGAATTCAAAATGTAACATTAATAAAAGTTCATAAAAGTATGAAAATATACTTAAAGTACCAAAGCTAAAAGTGCTTATTATTCAGAAATAAGATATATTATATGACTAGATTATACTAAGTAATCCATTAATGTGTATATAATTTTAATTGTGCAAGTTGAGCTAACTTTAATTACTATTTATACTGCCAACTATTGGTTGAAGTGTAATTTAGCATTGATTGAAAAACACTCAAGTAACATAAAAGTAACTCAAGTAAATGTATTTTGTAGTTACAGTCAACCAGTGATTATGTGTATGATCTTTTAAGAATAAAAACATTCTGTAGCCCTGATTGAAACAAGTAAGACATATTAAACCAGTGTGATTAAGGCTGTTATAACCACAGGATGATTTTATTGGTAATTGCGGTTCCTAATTGATTTTTGTTGCCCTTTCCCAGGCCATGTATCTGGTGTACAGAGCCCTGGAGGGTGAGCCTGTTCCCATGTCCCTTCCACCCCCCCTGGTTCCTCCCTCCAAGAGGAAAAAGCCCTCTGTGCCCCCCGTGATGCCCCTGTTACCCTCGCCCCCCTCCGTCAAAGACAGTCGCTCCGCCCACGCAGCCTCTAAGGCCCTGCCCCCGCCCCCAAGACCCGCCCCAGCTCCCGCCCCAGCTCCTGCCCCAGCTGCCGCCCCAGCTCCCGTCCCAGCTCCCGTCCCAACTCCCGTCCCAACACCAGCCGCCTCCCCTGTGAGTATCAGACCCGACTCTCCTCTGCATGCACCGCCTCAAACACTGCCTCTTAGCTGCAGAAACACACATTCATAATGATTTCAAACTGCTTAGCTCACTGTGCTTTTAAGAAAAAGATCAAGAAGAGGGATAGTGTGAAGGTAAGTCCTGAGTTAGGGGTTATGTCGTAGGTTGTTCTTGTATTTGTATTGTTTTATAAGCGTACTGTTCGATGTATCATAGGTCCAATTTTGTGTCACTTTATAATAGTATACATTAAATGTTTTTAGCTTGTATTGTCAAATGATACTTCTACTGTCTGTTATGTGGGATTGCACCATTGGGAATGCTTGGAATTTCGCTGTAATCTGTGTCGTGACAATAAAGGAATCTAATCTAATCAAATCTGGAGGTGCTGATTCAAAGTGTGTTTTGTTGCCTGTGCAGTGGGTGGTGTCGACAGCAGAAAAAGCTAAGTACGATGAGCTGTTCAGCAAAACAGACGGGGACATGGACGGCCTCGTGTCGGGACCTGAAGTCAGAGATATCTTCCTCAAAACCGGGCTTCCCTCCGCCACACTCGCACGGATCTGGTAAGTAGGAACGGCAGAACTTGTATTTAGCTCTTTGGCAGCAAATAAGGCTTTTTCTGACGACCGAAGACACTTAAAAAGCCATAACGGTTTGTACAGATAGGTTGTTGTATGTAAAGAAAAGCCGTATGTTGGGGAATCTTTCTCGAAAAGTTTCACATCTGGTCCATCCTTAAAGGTGGGGTAGGTAAGTTTGAGAAACCGGCTCGAGATACACTTTTTGTTATATTCCATGGAATGCTCTTAACATCCCGATAGCAATGAATATCTGAAGTGCTTTGACAAAAAATCCATAAAAAAATATCATCTGTGGAAGCCGTAGCACTGTAAAAAGCACGACCAGTTATTTTAGCCGGCCCAGCTAAAATAACTGGATGGCCTACCTGCCTGTCAGCCTTCCATCTGTGCACAAACTTATCTCGTGCCCTCATTGGTCATGTGTGCGTTCGTGTGTGTTGGAGGAGGGGCTCTATAAGGAAGTGGCAGATTTTCTCCGGTTGTGTATTTTCAAATTCTAGCGATCTCAAGCTGGTTTCTCCAAAATTACCTACCCCACCTTTAAATTATATTAAACACTTCCTACTTAGAATTAAACTGTGATTGAGGCACACGCTGCTTGGGTAATTTATGTTAATTTTGACTGACCGTAAAAATATGCTTTAGAAATGATAAATTCACCACAATGATGCCTCATTAAAAATACATTTAACAATGCTCACAAAAAGGACATTGACAATCAAACAAAAAGCAGAACCCCTACATTTTTGTCAGCAAAAGAGTAGCACTTAGTTTATTGTAGTCTAAGTCTAAGTTAATATATATTTGCCAAAGACATGCAATATATACTAAGTAGAATAGAATAGAAATACATTTGAAGAAAAAGTTGCCAAAGTAGATTTTGTTGGCTGTAAGCTGCAGGGCTTGTTAAATCACATGCTGTGTTTCAAATGTCCACAGTAGAAACACCTAGACAATTACAATTCACTTATGATTGGAGTTGTAAAGAGTCAATGTTAATAAAGCATGAAACTAGAAACATAAAGTGCCTGTGATTAAGATTATAATCTAATTAATCTAATGACAAATGATGTCGCTCGAGTTGATATTGGTGCAGCATGAGCTCTTCATAGCGTGTTGAAACATCACATGAACACAATGATCAGTCAACTATCTCCAATAGTGGTTGCCTGAGGTGTCAATTGTTTCTCTTTTATGTAACGTGTGTGTGTGTGTGTGTGTGTGTGTGTGTGTGTGTGTGTGTGTGTGTGTGTGTGTGTGTGTGTGTGTGTGTGTGTGTGTGTGTGTGTGTGTGTGTGTGTGTGTGTGTGTGTGTGTGTGTGTGTGTGTGTGTGTGTGTGTGTGTGTGTGTGTGTGTGTGTGTGTGTGTGTGTGTGTGTGTGTGTGTGTGTGTGTGTGTGTGTGTGTGTGTGTGTGTGTGTGTGTGTGTGTGTGTGTGTGTGTGTGTGTGTGTGTGTGTGTGTGTGTGTGTGTGTGTGTGTGTGTGTGTGTGTGTGTGTGTGTGTGTGTGTGTGTGTGTGTGTGTGTGTGTGTGTGTGTGTGTGTGTGTGTGTGTGTGTGTGTGTGTGTGTGTGTGTGTGTGTGTGTGTGTGTGTGTGTGTGTGTGTGTGTGTCAGGGAGCTTTGTGACATTGGCGACATCGGGAAACTGACCCGGGAGCAGTTTGCTCTGGCGCTTCATCTGATCACTCAAAGGCTGACTACAGGACTGGAGCCTCCGCAGAGCCTTTCTCCGGAGATGATCCCTCCGTCTGACCGACAGAACATCAAACAGGTGAGTCACTACGAGCCCTTAGATCTATGAATAGGAAATTGGGGATGTTTGGATTATATTTATTTGACTCCTTTGAGCTTATAATAAAGAAAATGTACATATTTTTGTAATTAAAAGGTGATTTGTGACCTATGCTTCCTTAATAATGAGAGAAAATCTAGTGGTAGTTGTTATTTTGCATTTTCATAAACTTCAAGCTTTGTTCCTTTCTGTTTTATAACCATAGATGACTCAATACCACTTTTTAAACGTCTGCCACCAGAGTACCTAGTTTCACCGACTATGTTTTACATTTTAAGATTAAACTAAGCTCCTAATAATATTATTGTATGGATGCACTTTCAAAAAACATCATGCTCACACTGAAAAATATATTCTGCTACCCTAAAGAAAGAAAGACAGACATACCCTCAGCATGACTTTATTTAATTCTGCTGCTTATTTTTATTTAAAGGTCCCATGTCATGGCCATTTCTACTGATCATAATTCCATTGTTGAGGTCTACTAAAATAGATTTATATTGTGCAATCTTCCAAACTCACATAGGTTTCTCATACAGCATCTCTGTATAGTATGTGTATTCACTCTCTGTCCTAAACGGCTTGTTGGAGCTCCTGCCCCCCCCCTCCCTGTGAGCCCAGTGGCCGTCTGCGAGACACAGCGAAACCCAGCCCGAAACCAGCCCGAACACACAAACACACCCGCAGCCTGGCTGTGAGTTTGCTCACACACAAACTCACAGCCTCGCCGCGTCCCGCCGTCTCAGGGAGGAGAAATCGGCGGAGCTGCAGCTGAGTAAAGATTGAGTGTGTGTGTGTGTGTGAGGAAGTCCGCGGATTGGTCCATTTGGACCAATCCACGGACTTAACGTAACGGCTCCGCGGACATAACGTAACGGCTCCACGGATTGGTCCATTTGGGTATGGGCACGTCACTGTACCCAGGAAGAAAAAGAGAAATGTCCAACGAGGCGTTTTGGGGCAGCATAGACAGGTCTTCTCTGTGTTAGAGTTTTACTCCCTACAGGGTGTACTTTGAGGGTTTGTGACTCTGCAGACCGTTTACATGCAGAAAAACCTTCATAACACACAAGGGGACGGTAATAACCGGAAAAGCATGACATGGGACCTTTAAACATTCTTACACACACTTTTAGCAGCATTTTTAAAGGTGAAAAAGACATTTTTTAAAACAAATATTGTACATTTTTTACGAAAAAACTTTCTAAAAGCTGTGTTTTCTTTTACATTATTATTATTATTATTATTATTATTATTATTATTATTATTATTATTATATTAATCATTCCTGCACTTGAAAGTGTAATCATTAATACCTTTGATTATATTTCCAGTTTAAAACACTGGATAGAGCCAGTGACTTTAGACATTCAAGTATGCTGTCCTAACTGAGGTTTATAAGTATGTTTTTGCTAAAAGTCAAATTAAGTTTCTCGCTCAATTATTTTCGTCAGACATTGTTCCTTCTTTCTGCATTTTGGATTATTTCTATTTTTTTTCAAACTTGCAGCTGTGTGTCTTTCTTTTCCAACTTACACTTTAATGCTTTTCCTTCTGTGTCCTCTCTTTACATTTTAACATTGCATCAACTTCTCACGTGCAGAGCAATGATCCTGAGTGAGTGTGTGTGTGATAGTTTACTGACTCCGGGGCGTCTCATTACTTCATTCAAGCTGCCTCTCCATCATCTTTCCGCTCATTTGTCTGTCTTTCTGTTTCTGAAACTAAACCATATTTTAGTTTATCTCTCAGTTCATTTCAGTTAAAGACAAGAAACAGTTGGATAAACCTTTTTAATATTTAAAAACCTATAGGGGAATCAGAGCAGCAACGACAATAATTGGAAACACAGGAATAAATAATGTAATATAACAACAATAGGATTAGGTAAAGCACAGAGTAGCTGGATTTACTTATACATATATGAATAAATAATAATAATACATTTGATTTATATAGCGCTTTTCCTGATGCTCAAAGTGCTTAAAGGTAATTAAATGTGAGTCCAAAGTAGATACACTTGCCTGGAGGTAGATATAGATGCAAATGGCTAAATAAAAAGCATTATAAGTGTAATTTAGTGTAGTATCCTCCCATCTTTACCTCAGATTCAAACTTCCTCCCATCCCTGACATGTTGTGTCTCCATCAGTGGCTTCATGTGTGATTTTTTTGGGTAAAGCCATCACTTCAATCAGCGGTTCATTTGTTTATTCGGTGGCATTTTTGTTGTCCTTAAGAGTTTTCATCCACGTAGTAATACTTCTTCTGTTTTCTCTAGTGTGAGTCTAAAATGAGTCTGTGGCCCAATTCCAAACCGATCCTTACACACACCCCAACTCCATGTTCTCATTCTGTGATCAATTAGGCTTTTTCTTTAAGTTTTAGGGTGTAAATACAGTGTCTAAAGCAATCGAAAATGTCGTTAGACCCTTACTGCAGACAAGGAAGACTCCCTAAGGAATTCAATAAAAGGGGAACTAATGGAAGAAACCTCAGGGAGAGCAAACAGTTTATTAAAATATAATGACAACATGCTCGATCCTTGTTTTGGGACGAATTCCCCTCTCTCCGGCAGAAACAGGAACTGACCTAACTTTTCGTAACCGTAGTTTAAAATCAAAACTAATCAATATTTATGATAAAACTCAATATTTAGACTGTTTTCTTGTTTTTAAACCTGGTGTTTCTGAGCTACAATCTCTGTAATATACAACTATTGACAATCAAATGAACACGTCTAACATTTTCTAGACTAGACATGAGGTAAGGTTGTTGAACAAACTAAGTGGAATTAGGGTAAGGGTGTAGGGCCCGGATTGGAATCGAGCCGATGTGATGTGATGATGGTAATTCGTAGCCTTCTGTTTAGGACGTTTCATTACCGTTATGGTGTTTAACTTTAAGATGTGACTTTAATCCTCTTGTATTCCTCTGCCTCGCTTCCTCTCCAGAACAACTTGGCGAACCTGTCCGCTGACTTCTCTGCCATCAAGGAGCTCGACTCGCTCAGCAACGAGATTGTCGAACTACAAAAGTAAGCAGTTGTTCTCATTTGTCTCTAAATTCTATTAAAACCATGCAGACATATTAGAGAAGGATATACCCCTTGTTGTGAGAAGATGTCCCCTTAAAATGGCCTGTACTCGTTAAGAGTTTCCACTAATTGATTAGGATGGTTATATAAAAGGTACGTAGTACAGAAGGGTGTCAATCACGACTTTCATCACAATTATTATATTGATTATTTCGACAACAACACGATAGATGACAAAGTCTGACACAATATGATTTAGGGTCTTGTGAGCAATATGAGAATGTTTCAAATATCCATTTAACACAATCAACTAGGTTTGTATCAACACACAAAAAGCAACTACCATATGATTGTTATTTTAATGCTCATCCAAATAATAATATGAAAAAAACGATGGACTGTATGTCTGTATCTTAACTGACCAGCAGGAGGCAGTGTTTCCCACAAACTGAGCTGCACAAATCAATTCTATACATCCGGAAACAAGTGATAATGTTACTAACCCCTGATCCCAGCTGAAGTTTTTATTTGTGGAACCTACACCGGTTGTTACAAGATGATATCACGAACGCGCTCAAAAACAAGAAACATTTGTGTTCCTGCTGCAGGCTCTCAAACACAGCAGATGGCTCTAAAGCACAGTCATGTTTCTGTTATTTAACAGTGAGGTGGAAGAGAAGGATAGAATATGAAATAGAAACCAGACATTATTTATACAATTTTCTATCACTTTCATAGAAACTCTACCACAAGAAAAACAAGGTAAAAACAGTCAGAGAAGTCCAATTCATTTTTAACAAGATAAAACGTACATATAACCGATGTAATTGTTCTACTATATAACAGTTCCTTATGTTTCCTTCACGTTTATTACTTCACTTTAAAGGCAGATGCAGAAAATGTTCATGCTTTCTTGGTTTCATTGACTGGTTGGTAGTCAGTAGCTGTTGTTTCGAAACACATTTTCTTAACGCTCCAATTTAAGCTTCCCCTTTTCATGAAAGCTGAGATTGAGAAGTGAAAAAAGTTGGCCTTCCACCCCACCCCCCACCTTTCGATACACACGCACACACACACACGCACACGCACTCACACCAGATGGCAGCTGTTGGAGAGGGAGGAAGGAGAGGTAAGAATGATTGATAGAAGTGAAGACCAGAGCTTCAGACAGGCAGCAGATTGAGGGAATTTAATACGATGATTCATGTTTGTGCCTGCTTCAAAATGTGGCCGCAGCCTTCTGCTCAGGAGGAGGATGAGGATGGGTAAGAGGAGGAAGAGTGAAACTGGGAGGATATTAATCATTATCAAGGGAATTGTGCATTTTGATGTGAGAGAGAATTTAAAAATAGCTGCTGTTATTTTTAGTCTGGGTTGAAAAGAATTACAAATGATTTTCAAGGTTGATGTTCCATTTTGTTTTTTAATCCAGTCATCTTAATGTGAAACTGAACAGGAATTATAAGAAAGTCCTGTATTGTTTTTACACAAGAAATGCACATAATGCATATTAAATTCGGGCTGTGCGATTATGGCAAAAATCATAATCACGATTATTTTGGTCAATAATTGATATCACGATTATTAAATAAGATTATTCATTGACTTTGAAAACATCCATTTATTGAACTTTTAAATACAAATAATAATTTGAACAGTATCTTTTTAACTGTTGATTTCCCTGAGCGTATAATTCAACTGAAAAACCAATACAAAAATAAATTAAAAAATTATACATTTATATCTACATTTAAATAAATAATATCAAAATAATAAATACCAATAAACAAGATCAACAAATATTTTGGAGCGCACTTCAACAAGCTACTAAACATATATAAATATGATAAATACAAATACATTTGATCAAATGTGTTGCAGTGCACTGTCACAACCTTGCAAAGCAAAATAATCGTTTTTTTCGTAATTGTGGCAGGCCAAAATCGTAATTGCGATTAAAATACGATTAATTGCACAGCCCTATATTAAATATTGTACTTTTTTTAAAGAATATTCTTTCCAGAGCTGAAACTTATATAATATATGAATCATTATCATTACGCAATGCTAACATGTGTGAAAATAATTACGCAACATCTTACATATTTGTAAGGAGATTACTCAATGTTGCTGCTGGTTTGCCTTAACTTTGTTATGTATATGTCCCCTTTGCTTTGTTGACATTCGAATGCCTTTTTGCACGACCATGCATTCTATATTTACCTGTTCAGTGGTAACACTACCACACAAAGTTACAGACAGACAGGACACTAAACACAGAGGCAACAATCACATAAAACATCTTAAAAAAAGTATTCAGATATAGCAGGTGCAAACACCCACAGATGATTTCTCCAGCTTTTTTAAAATGAGTTTAAAATCTGTGATGGGTATCAAACTGGTCAGCTTAAGTTCCTGCTGAATATATATATACCTGCACATTTGCATAAACGGGTTGCTCTAGTATTATTAGGAGGGTATTTCCCAAGATTTACAATGGGTAAAGCTCTCATTTGTTAAACATACAATAAGACACTTTAAGGGTAGTTTTCGATAATGTTAAAACAAAGTCTGAGTTAAAAATATTCGATAGGAGGATGAGAAAGGTGGAGGAAAAATACTATAAAATGTAAAAATATATTTTAGTGCAGAAATGGACAGAAGAATATTTCCATTTGTTTGTATCCATCTATTTCTTTATTAAATTAATTGTATTTCTTCTTGCTATATTTGTAAATGTAATATGAGGTTTGGAAAAAAGGACACTTCGAGATTGTATGTGATCTGAATATTAGTTTGGTACGAAATTATTTCGTACCAAACTAATATTTACTACTAATATTTACTACTAATATTTACTTACCTTATTTACTAACCCTAACCCATATTTACCTCTGACTTGTGTTTACTGCCAACCTAAAAGTACCTCAAAAATAGTAATCAATAATGTAATGAAAAGTTATTTGGCTGATTGTTGTATATTGGCTCAGCCAGGTTATATGGGATGCCCAGTCTACGTACAGATGGGTCACTCATTTTGAAATATTAAACTTAGTTTTATTTTTCTTTAATTTATCATCCTCATGTAGAATGCTATCACGAAACACACATTTGGTTGTTTATAGCATAAAGAACATCTGATTTAATGTGAGGTAGGGAAATAATCATTTGAGTATAAGTATGTGTATATAAATATGTAATTTACAACAGCTGTAAGAAGCTTGAAAATGCTTGAAAAGTGCTTGAATTTGACTTTGGAAAAGGTGTAAGAACCCTGGAAATAACATTTGTAAAAAACAAAAACATTAGAAAAGTGTGTGAATAAAATGTAGGATCTCCAGATGCAGTATGAACCCACATCTCCATACTAATGTGTCATTAATAACAAGAGTACCATCCATCTTCCTGCATGCTTTAATAATGTATATCAGTCGTGATTAATCAGGTTTAATGACTTCAGCACAAACCCCTGACTGCACAAAGTAAGTGTTTTTGGTGCCTTCTAAAGCTTAGCTATAGCAGAACATAAAATAAACATTTATTAATTGCACAAAAGTCAATACTCCTCCTCGCTCCATTTCCTCTCTCCCGGGTGGAGTGAATTAGCAAGGATAAACACAGGGCGGCACAAATGATGGATGTTGTAGGTTGGCTCATCATCACTCCTCCCTCCTCCCTTTCCTTCTTCCATCCTCCAGGCATCCATCTGCCTCTCACTCCTCATCTCCCACACATTTCACTGAACTAGCACATTCTCACTTTCAGCAAAACTCTCACACACACACCACCTTCCCTCACACACACCTGCTGTAGCTGCAGACAGTCAGGCGGCTCTCTCTCTCTGTGTGCTGAGGAGTTTATATTTCAGGACATCATGGTGGTTGAAGTGGAGGAAGTGGTGGTGGTGGTTCAGGGGCAGGGTAGAGACGGCTCGGTGGAGAAGTGGCTGGGGCTCGGAGTACCGGGTGTACCCTCTCTGTCCTTGGTGGCTAAATACTCCTGTCTGTTGTGCTGGACCCCCAGGGAGAAGATCACCGTGGAAGAGGAGATCAAGGAGAAAGAGGACGCCATCAGACAGCGAAACAACGAAGTGCAGGTAAGGTCAAACTGTCTGTTTTTCTGGGAGCTTTTCTCTGCTCTCAGTACAGGAATATAAAATTCCCACATAAATAATTGACCTTCACCTAACCTTTCTTCTTCCCTTAAATCAGGTTTTGTAGGCACTACTTTTTGTCCCTTTTTAATCATGCATAGTGTGCATTTTGGATGTTTTATTGATCCCTCCACTCTCTTAAGGACCTGGAATATTAAAGAGTCCCTTGTTTACCTTTCCTTAATTATGCAGACATTAAATCTGTGTAATTAAATCCTGTAATTTGAGCTCCCTCTTCATCTCTCTGCTGTTCTGTTTCCTATTAGATAGATGGATAGATAGATGGATAGATAGATGTATAGATGGATAGATAGATAGATAGATAGATAGATAGAGATATAGATAGATAGATGGATAGATGGATAGATAGATAGATAGATAGATAGATAGAGATATAGATAGATAGATGGATAGATGGATGGATGGATGGATAGATAGATGGATAGATGGATGGATGGATAGATGGATAGATGGATAGATGGATGGATAGATGGATAGACAGACAGACAGACAGACAGACCCTATTAATTTGCACTATTTTCATTTTTTTAATTGTTATTTGTATTGTTATGTTTCTTATTATTTTTTTCCTTATTATTAATGTTAGTGTTATTATCTTTTTTTTACATTAATCTTTTTGCATTATTTTTCTTGTTTTTATTATTATTAATGTTAGTATTATTATCAATTTTTTAAAATTTTGCATTCATTTTTCTTGCATTCTTTTTCTTGTTTTATGTCTTATGTATGTTTATTTAAGTTGCATTGTTGGACAAGGAGCCTGGGATTTAAGATGTTCATTGCCAAAATACGCTGTAGCTATTGTGCACATATACAACACAGAGATAAACTATCATTTATCGGAAGACAGACATTATGGTATCGTTGTGTAAATATTGCACTCACTCCCATCCTAAGGTCTAGTGTTTGAGCATATTTCTGCTGTAAAAAAACAGATCAGAAACAAACAAAGGTACCGACGGTGAGAGCCGGTAGGTGCTAAAGCCGTTTTGTCGTGATGTATTTACCGGTGGAGGAGGAGATCAATAATACATTTGGCCCGCAGTCTGAGGCGCTTGTTCAGGAACATAGTTAATGTTTCTCAGAGACCTTGTGTAGGCGTGTCTGCTGCCTCACTGAGCCTGAGAGATGGGCGCTATTTTTGGGATCTGATGGTTTAAAGGGCTAGTTCTGGATCTCAGGGGAGTCTCACGCTGATGATGCTGAATTTCTTAGCTGCACTGCAGGGTCGCCTCAAGTGATTTTGGCTATTTATACTCTATTGTGTTTCCTAAATATACCCTGGACATCATATATTCCGTGCTGTCGGTTTGTCGTGATCTGTGTTACCCCTGCTCGGACTGAAACTCGCCTAGCAGTTTTTTGTATTAGTCTTTTGCATTATGTTATTGTTTTTGCAAGCTAAGAGTAATTTACTGAGTCCAGTTGTCCTTGAAAGCACCGTAAAAGGACACAATTAATACCGGATCACAGCTCCTTTTCCACAAATGTCTAAAAAGGAGTATATTACATAACAAAGATTTAACCTTTAATGGGTATGGAAGCCAATCTAGTTATGTAGGCCTCCCAAAGTGGTCGTTTTACATAACTCTTAGGTGGCATGTGTTATGGATATCACTGGTATGACTGGTGTGGACTATATGTCTCAATTCTGTTACCATTTCCCTTTTGTTGTATGTTTGAACTGTTTTTAATTCAAACTGCTAACTGTACACTGCCATATAGACCAGGATACCTTGGAAGAACAGCTCTTGTATCTCCAAAGCAGATCCATATATATATCAAATGAAAACAAGTTGTACGTAGCAAAAGTATTGTGTTGAAATTGAAATTAAATGCCATGCGACATGTCTGATTTAAGTCCAGACGGAGACTTTTGTTGCACTGCTTCCCCTCCCTCTGCCTTACTTCTATGTCTGTTTTTCCAGAAGCTTTTCTGAACTATTTTTAGTCGTACAAAGTCCATTTAAAGACACAGTTACACTTAAACAAAAGTGGCAGGTCACACCGACTGCAATGTGCTCATATCGACTGCAATGTGCTCATATAATTAATGCATGTCATTACGCAACCTCATTCTTTCGCACATGCAGTATTTTGTCTCATCTCTTTTGTTTATATATCAGGCTGGGGAAGACATTTTGTGCCTCTTCTGCTCGGCTGATGGTTCACTTTCTTTTGCAGTTTTTAGCCTTTTTTTAAGACATCACATTACAGAGAGGCTGTTCAGAGTTACAGTGGAATTAAATAGAACAAAGGTGGACGGCCACAATCAAACCAGTGATGTAGAGATTATTTGAGATCACTACATTAACGAAATTCCTATATTTCTGTAATTGTTTCTCAAGATAATTGACCCTCACCTAACCTTTCTTCTTCCCTTAAATCAGGTTTTGTAGGCACTACTTTTTGTCCCTTTTTAATCATGCATAGTTTGCATTTTGGATGTTTTATTGATCCCTCCACTCTCTTAAGGACCTGGAATATGAAAGAGTCCCTTGTTTACCTTTCCTTAATTATGCAGACATTAAATCTGTGTAATTAAATCCTGTAATTTGAGCTCCCTCTTCATCTCTCTGCTGTTCTGTTTCCTATTAGATGGATGATAGATAGATGGATAGATGGATAGATGGATGGATGGATAGATGGATAGATGGATGGATGGATGGATAGATAGGTAGGTAGATAGATAGATGGATAGATGGATGGATAGATAGGTAGATGGATGGATAGATAGGTAGGTAGGTAGGTAGGTAGGTAGGTAGATAGATAGATGGATGGATGGATGGATGGATGGATAGATAGATGGATGGATAGGTAGTAGTAGATAGATGTCGGTAGATTGATCGCTGGCTGGCTGGCTGGCTCGCTCGGTCGCTGGCTGGCTGGCTCGCTCGCTCGCTCGGTCGGTCGGTCGGTCGCTCGCTCGCTGGCTGGCTCGCTCGCTCGCTGGCTCGGTCGCTCGCTGGCTGGCTCGGTCGGTCGGTCGGTCGCTCGCTCGCTGGTGGCTGGCTGCTCGGTCGCTATGGATGGCTGGGTAGGTCTGGTGGTGGGTGGATGTGGATGATGGATGGATGCTACTTTATTGATCCAAATTTGGGAAATGTTTGAGTTGCAGCAGCATAAAAAACACAAGGCAATGTACATAAGAGAAACTAAGACACAGAAATAAACAGTCCAATATATTTCAGAAATAAAAATAGCATTAAAAAATAAAAAACATATATACATGTGGAAAATACAAATTTCCAGTAACAAATATAATGCAGGATATTATTGAGCAAGAATGGATTATTCAATATTAAATAGAATATGAATGTAAAATGTCCAGTTGGATTTTAAGTCCAGTTATCAAGAGAAGCTATGGAGCAGACGGTTACCAAGCTCACACTAATTTCTTCTCTTCTCCTCGTTGCTTTGTGTCTGCAGGAGCTTCAGGATGAGGTGGCGAAGGAGGGCGGGGAGCTTCAGAAACTCCAGAGTCAGAGATCCAAGGTCCAGGAGGCGTTAGATGAGCTGGACCAACAGAAAGGCTCTCTGGAGGAGCAGCTCAATCATATTCGCCAGCAGACCAACCAAGAGTCCAATCTGGTGGGTTTAGGAGACGTCTCTTTTAATGACTGCTTCTTTTATTTCGTTACTTGAATCAGAATCAGGTTTATTACCAGCAGAGATGGGGTCGTTAATCAAAAAAAGTAATATATTACTTTACTTCGTTACTCTCGCATTACTTTACTCGTTACTTTTCTCGCAGGGCCGCCCCTCCCTACAGGCAGATCACGCAGACTGTGGAGGTTGCTTCATTTTGCGGAGGGAGCCTCATCTGAAGCGCAAATGCGGCGCACCTACGGTGTTACTTTACTCGACATCCTCACTCTGGATTCGGAGGTCCTCCTTAGCTATTAGCTTCACGTTAGCATGTTGTCTTTGCAGGTGCTTGTTGAGGTTTGACGTGGTGTTTGCAGCAGTGGATAAAAGCTTCTGGCCCGGACACAGTTTGCACCTCACCGTCACATTCCTGTCCTTTCTTCGGACGAACTCAAAATAATGGGCATACCTCCACCCCTCGAAAGTTATCGCTGTTGACTGAGCCATGTTTATGCACTGCATGTGGACACGCAAGTCGCGCAAATGTTACGTAAATATAAACCTGCGGCGGAAATCCCTCTTGTCTGTCAAAGGGAGAATCTAGTCATTCTGTATGTTAGTAGGCTAACTGAAGTGCGATTACTGATTTTATAAAAGTAACGAAGTAACGCGTGTCGGGCAATGTTAGTAACTGTATTGTGATTACTGAATTATAAAAGTAACGCGTTACATTACTCCGTTACCGACAAAAGTAATATTATTACACCCAACTCTGATTACCAGGTAGGAATTTGACCTGGTGTTGTGGTGCATACATAAAATATTACAACAATTAAAAACACAGATAGAAACTATTTGAAAAAAACTATAATAACATAAAAAAATATTCAGAAATATATAAATAGGCTTTATAAACGTGGACACTAGTGAAAAATATATTACTTCATTACCAAGGTTGGGACAGAACATAAATATATTATATATATTTTTACTTTCCCGCTCATTTCACCAAGTTAAGAATCTTCCTAAGAGAAATAAGACAATTTGACTGCAAATCCTGACTCGATTCTCTCCGTTTTTTCACCACGGTTTCTTCCGCCACAGATCACCTCTCTGCAGTCGGAGCACGAGGAGCAGGAGCATAAGATCTGTCAGTTCGAGGAGGAGCTGGTTCAGGCGCGAGAGGAGCTGCTCTCTCTGCAGGAGGAGAGCCGGAAGCTGCAGGAGAAAGTGCAGGCGGCTCAGGAGCAGCTGACCCCTCTGCAGGAGTCCGTCAGAGACTCCTTCACTCAGGTCGCACAGGTCGGTTTGGGGGAATCAGTGAGTCTCCAATTTACCCAGAACAAAGTTATAAATGTTCTCTTTAACTTATTTTATTTAGTGGTTTTAACCTTTTTTATTTACGTGATTATTTATTTTCTTTATACTTCCTGTTCGTTTTAGTAATTCATATTCATTCTTACTGATTGGTTGCTTATCTTAAGTATTCCCTTTGTATTGGTCAACTGTTGGTTATAATTATTATTATTCATATGTTCTTATAGATATTTATTTGACTGGTTTTATTCATTCTTACTCATCTGTTGTTTATCCTTATTATTCACATTATTTTATTGGTCAAATGTTGGTTTTATTGATTATTATTAATTATTTTGTATTTATTTTATTAATTCATATGAGTTCTTACGGGTAGTTTGCTGTATATGTTTACTTCTTGGTTAAACTCAAGTTTATGTTATGTCTTAAATAATGTGCTTTTAATTGTAATACTTGTGACTTTTGTCCTATGTTTACTCTTTACACTCTACATTAAAGGTGGGGTAGGTAATTCACTTCAGAAACACTTGTTATATTCCATGGAATGCTCTTAACATCCCGATAGCAATGAATACATTAAATGCTTTGACAATAAATACATACAAATATTTCATCTGTGGAAGCCGTAGTACTGTAAAAAGCACGACCAATCATCTGAGCCGGCCCGGCTAAAATAACTGGATGGTCTACCTGCCTGTCAGACTTCCATCTCGTGCACAAACTTATCTCGTGCCCTCATTGGTCATGTGGAGGAAGTCTGAAGGAAGGGGCAGATTTTTTTCGGCTGTGTACTTTCAAATTCTAGCGCACTCGAGCTGGTTTCTCCATTCTTACCTACCCTACCTTTAAGTGTTTTGTGGCTGCAACAAATAAATCAAGTTTTGCTTGCTTTGTTTGCTTACTCTTAACCCTCTGTACCGCTCTGCTCTCAGGTCCAGCAGAAACTGAACGACCTTCAGGTGGAGGAAAGGTCAGTGACTGCTCAGCTCAGCTGGAAGAGAGCGCTGGAGGACAGCTCTCCTGTCATGGTCAACGGATCAGGAGGCCCCAACGCAGAGCTGCATCAAGGGGACTTCTTCCAGGAGGACCAGCCCAAAGAGCTGAAGGAGGAACAACCGGCAGCTGTTTTCTTTGAGCCGAATGAACATCCAGATCAAAACGAGAGAGGAGAGAATGAAGAGGAAGAGAGTCCAAAGACTTCAGAGGAGGAAAATATTAAACGTGATGCGTTGGATGATCTTTACACGAGTCTAGCCTCATCAGAGCTGATTTACAATAATCTGTCGACCCTCACCAAGCTACAAGAGAACACGGTGAGAGAAATGAATACACTTCACTTCTTTTTTTCTTTCAAGGATGGAAAGAAGCCGACATAAAGCCTACAACACTATCTCATACTCCAAAAACTCACTGTAGAGAGTTGAAGAAATTAGCACTAAAACCTGGAAATAAATCGGCATTTCTGCAATGGGATTTTCAAATAGCATTTTAGTTGAGCCTGAAACAATTTCTGAGGTTAATCAATCAATCAATCAATCAATGTTTATTTATATAGCCCAATATCACAAAATGTTACATTGGTCTCAGTGGACTTCACAGTTTGTACAGAATATCAGGATGACAATACGACACCCTCTGTCTTTAGACCCTCACATCGTACAAGGAAACACTTCCAGAGAAAAACCCACAGTTTAAAGGAACATGGGAGAAACCTCAGGGAGAGCAACAGAGGAGGGATCCCTCTCCCAGGACGGACAGACGTGCAATAGATGCCGTGTGTAAATCGAAAAGATAATACATTTACAACATAGGTAGACCAAATGTTTGGAAACGCATGTGTCTATAATAAGAAGATGAATCCACGAGGATGTCAACAATCCTGTGGGAGCCATCAGGGAAGTAGTATGATGAGAGTCAGGCAGGACCGCAGAGACAGGTTCAGCCACGACTCGAAGTCCAGGACTCAGATCAGGACTCAGATCAGGACTCAGGACTCAGATCAGGACTCAAGACTCAGATCAGGACTCAGGATCCCAGCGTAGATAGACACCAACAAGACATTTGGGGGAAGCTGGGTTATTCGGAACATGAGAGTACACAGGTACTTAACACAAGTTGAATAGATGTAACCATTGTTGCTCTATGACAGGGGTCGGCAAGTAAGTGCTGGGTGCTGGTGAAGTGTCAACGGGGGGAACCTCGCTGCGGTGCTGGCCGTCAGCGAACAGAGCCGGCCCTTGACGACCGGCCGTTCTGAGATTCTCCAGATTCTCCAGATGGCCAGTCCGCCCCTGCTCACAAACGTATTAAGATCCAAAGCTTTAGTGCGTTTGGAATCAATGCTGACAGTCTCTTCTCGGTCATTGTAGACCGAATGCTTCTCGTTTTGCGCCGTCCCGTTCAAATGACAATCACATTTCCATGCTCGCGCCAGGGCCGGGGGAGGGGTTACAAGCAGTGGCGGCTCCAGGGTATGGCTGGGGTAGGTTACAGCCATACCAAGAAATGGCTTAGCCCCACCTTAGCCCCACCATGAAAAATTATGTTAAAGTAAGCAAAACAATTTCACAGACGGCAGCAAGATTGATTTCTGTAGCCACTTGTGTGGAAATACCGAAGACTAGAAACGGTTTTGAAAACTTTTGTCACGTAGTGATCGTCTTCTCAATAAAACATCTTTGCTAATGTCTTCTGGCCAATCAGAATCACGATAACGGCGTGGTGTTGTTGCAGGAAGTCCCGACAGAGAATACTTTTGCGGTAGAACTTCTCTTTATACATCCATGGATACAACATTACGTCTTGATAGAAATCAACACGTAATGAAATAAGACCCCACGGTTTGATGATTGATAGGTGTGTGGGCTGTCTTTCATTTTGACACACAGAACAATGGGGGCTATCCACCCTTATTATGTAAAGTAATTCACACAGCCTCTTCCCTCTTCTCTCTGTGAGGAAGCAGCAGGTTCAGCTTTCAGAACAAAGTAACACAAAACTAAAATGGCATTAATTTTAGTATTTAAAAACATCTCCTGAGGGAGCATGTCAACTTTTTCACCTGTGGAGAAATTGCAGGATTGGCTCCAGGTCGCCCTTTTTATTTACTACAAGACAAATGTGCCATTTTATTTCATACAGTTCAATTTTGATTAAGACAGGGAAATAATCTAAACCTCCCGCGTGGCGTTTCACTGTCAAGGGGGGCGATATAGCGTGTATGTAATTACATTGCAAATACTGACTTGAGCCCCACCACTGTATGGGTTAGCCCTACCATAGATTACCCAACAAAAATACTCTGGAGCCGCCACTGGTTACAAGGCTCACGTCTTGTGCTGCATTCACTTGCACTCGGACATTAGGGATTTTCTCTCATAAATGTCTGAAAAAATCTACTTTTCTTTCAAAACAAAGCAAATTTTTCGGGCCAAATATTATTGCTGGCGGGCCAACTATGGCCCGTGGGCCGCCTGTTGCCGACCCATGCTCTATGACAGGGGTGTCAAACTCAAATACACAGTGGGCCAAAATTAATACTTATTTAAAAAAAATGGGTACTACTCGAGGGCCGGACTGGTTCAATGTTTATTGCAGAACTTATTGAAATGAACTTATTGCACATATTAAACCTGGAACTAACAAACCTTAAATTATTGCCTATAAAAACAACATTAAACATTAAATAATCAGTTGCATTCATTTCTTATGGCTCTATCTGCAGCTTTTCCGGAGTCATTTCTTATGATTACATTTCACAGGCCAACAACAGCTTCAACAAAACTATTTCCCTCAAAGAAAAAAAAAAAAAAAAGCCCTGTTTCAAGAGAAAAAGTGCAGAAGGAAACATCCATGTAAACTCAGTGTGCTGCTCTGTGATGCTAGTTCAAGCCAGATACTTGGCATCTCATCTTGGGTGCAAGTTCATCAATGTTTGGGGTCAGGCTCTGAGCTGAGGAGACCCTCAGGATTGAGTGAAGGTGTGCGTGCAATATACCGGAGGGCCAGATCTAATAGTAATTAGAAATGATCTTGCGGGCCGAAATTAAATCCACCAAGGACCTCATTTGGCCCCCGGGCCTTGAGTTTGACACATGTGCTCTATGACATAATGTACATAAATAAATACCTCACTTGTAGCTTTTACGTATCTTGAAAAAGGTAGTCCCCATCCCGTCTATATGCCACACATATTCTTTGGCAATAAATCACAAACCAAAAGAAAAAATCCCATTAAATTGTTGTTGTAAGAAGCTCCAGTCATGCTAACTTCCCTTAGCACTCTATTGAACTCTATTTAAAAATAGGAATCTCTTATTATAATTTTTTAGCACTTACCCATCATGCAATACCAGCAAATTTAGCAACACAAATATTGTACAAAATGTTGAATATAACTTATAATTTCTCAGGATATCTCTCTGATAGTCACACCAGTCGTTTCTGTTTCTCCCCTCATGTCTCCAGGAACAAAGCAGCCCAACACCTGACGTCTGCTCAGAGGTCATGGATGATGGAGAAGACAGCCCACTGCAGGTAAACACATTCAATTTGACAAAAGTCCTTTAACTCCTCAGACCTTTGTTAACACATGTTTCCCTGAAGTTTCAAGGATTAAGTAATGAAGTGTAGTGTAAAGACAACATCAACATCACTTCATCCAGAATGTTGTATATTGTTTTGGTTTTATTTGATATAATATTTGTCATTTTTAATTCTCCTTTCCACTTTTTTAAGTATTTTAAGTATTGTATTATAAAGTCTGAACACACTTCTGCGACGAAATAATTTCCCAAACTAGGATCAATAAAGTATCTACAGAATCAGAATACCTTTATTAATCCCACAGAGGGGAAATGTACATTTGTTACAACATAAAAGAGCCAAAGACAGCTCAATGTTACCTAAGAAGCATGCATAGAAAAATATTAAAGATACAAAAAAAGTATTATACTAAAGATTACACAATTTACAAAATACACATCCTGTAACAGTTCTGAGGATTTAGGAGCCAGGTATATATTGCACAGTCTATTTATCTATCTACTAGGGGTGGGAATATAGTATTGCGATATATATATTTACATCTTTATTTTGACTAACTTCCTGCCAATCCCTCTGACTCTACCCATGGCCATGAGCTCAGCACCATCTAGAGCACATGTGTCAAACTCAAGGCCCGGGGGCCAAATCAGGCCCTTGGTGGATTTAATTTCGGCCCGCAGGATAATTTTTAATTACTATTAGATCTGGCCCGCCGGTATATTGCACGCACACCTTCACTCCATCCTGAGGGTCTCCTCAGCTCAGAGCCTGAGCCCCAAACATTGATGAACTTTCACCCAAGATGAGATGCCAAGTATCTGGCTTGAACTAGCATCACAGAGCAGCACACTGAGTTTACATGGATGTTTCCTTCTGCACTTTCTTTCTCACGACAACAGGGCATGTTTGGTTTTTTCTTTGAGGGGAATAGTTTTTTTGAAGCTGTTGTTGGCCTGTGGAGAAATGTGATCATAAGAAATGACTCTGGAAAAGCTGCAGATGGAGCCATAAGGAATTAATGCAACTGATTATTTAATGTTTAATGTTGTTTTTATAGGCAATCATTTAAGCTTTGTTAGTTCCAGGTTTAATATGTGCAATAAGTTCATTTCAATAAGTTCTGCAATAAACATTGAACCAGTCCGGCCCTCGACTAGTACCCATTTTTAAATTTTGGCCCACTGTGTATTTGAGTTTGACCCCCCTGCACTAGTGGATTGATGAAAAGCAATTGTTACCAAAAACTTTAATTTGGAATATGAATAGTTTATATAATAAAATATCAATACTTGGCGTCCAATACAATATCGCCACGCAAAGTATCGCGATGCTCTGCCTTATCAATTATTTCCCCCGACCCTACTATCTACAGGTAGCGTCTCCAGAGCCAGAGAGCAGAGAGGAGGAAGATTCTTCAGAAAACACCACCTCGTCTTCCTCACCTCCTCAGGTCGCCCCCCCCTCCCTCCCGCCTCTCACCAGCCCCCCCTCCCTGCCTGAGATGGACTTCTTCCATCCGGACCCTTTCACTGACCGTGAGTCCACACAAACATCTAAAGAGTAGTTAACATTCATTTTTTTCTACTTTTTTAATCCTATTTTATTTCTATTTGACATTTTGGAATCTTTTCTAGTCTTTTAATTACACTAATGTACAACTCCTTGTCTGACCGTGAGTCCACACAAACATCTAAAGTTTGGTATAAATACTATTTACGTGTATATAGACTTCTTGCTCTATTTTGTATTTGTATTTTTGCATTTGATTATATATGTTGCATTGTTGGAGGAGCTCGGGTCAGAAGAATTTCATTTCCATTTCTACACAGTAGCTTATGTGCATATTCTATACACACTCTATAACAAATCACCTCCGTTTGGCAGAGAACTCTGCTCCATAGCTTCTCTTGGACTTAAAATCACACTGTACATTTTACATTTATATTCAATTTAATATGTCATTTTCCATGCCTCACATACTTATGTATATATAATAACTTGCTTTATATTTTGTACTGTAAATTTGTAATTTAACATGCAGTGTTTCCGTCAGACCAGGGCTGAGAGGGCGTGACTTGAATTTAGAATTGAGCCGTCCCTTATAGATACTATCTCTTTACGTATTAGTGATGGGAATTCATCATTTGGCTCGGCTCACCTAATGGCGCTTTTCCACTGCAGGGCCTCGCTCGGCTTAGTACGGTATAGTTAGGCCTTGGTAGGCCAGGCTCACTTTATGCTGCGTTTCCATTACAGTTTAGGAACTGGGGCAGTAACTATAGTAACGCAGTGTAGGCGGAGCCGTGACGTCATCTTCAATGCGAAACACAAAACCAACATCAGCCGTTAGCTGTTAGCCCCTCAGAGCTCACAGCTCCTCATATCTGTTCAGAAACTAGACAAAAGTGAAACAAGTACAAACCACAGACTGTCTGTGTCATGGCGAATACAGAGCCGGCTCCTAAACGGCTCTTCATGTTACCACAGTTTACCACAGTTTACCACGGAGCCTCAGTTTCGCCGCTGTGAGGCTCCGGCGGTCGCAGTTCACGCGCGTGCTCCACTAGCACCCCCCGTCAAGGCTCGCCGGCAGTACACTTGCCGTCACAGGAACACGCTTTGCTGGCGGCGAAAAGAATCCCACCAGACTCCTTTGCCCCTCCAACAGAGGGATGTCCTTGTCCTTTTTCCTTTCCTCATTTCAAGCGATAAAAACTTGATATTCTCTCAAATTATTAATTTTTTTGGACGCCCTCGGCTCGAGATCAGGGCGTT